GAATTCTACAAACAGTGTATGTGCATGAAAAAAAGACAGTGGAAATAGCCCAGGAATTTTCTAAAAGGAAGAATGCCCGATATTGAAATACATTCTAAAGCTACAGTAGTTGAAGTGGAGTGGCACTGGGACAACATCATAGAGGAATCTGGAATAAATAACTCACCTCCGGGATCCACTCATCAGATAAAGTCTGAAAGCTTCTGATGTGCTTTTCTGCCGGTCCCTTCAGTTACCTCCTACAAACAAACACACTGACCTAGTCAAAGTCCTGATATAGGGAGCGTCCTTCCTCCCTTCCTCTGCACGTGCACTTTCTCCTATTTGGAGCACCCTTCATTAAATGGCACACCTCCAGGCTGCCTCACAGGACCCTCCAGGTCAGGGTTTTGCCCCTATTTTCTCCTCCCATAGACCCCAGCTCCCACTCATCGTCCCCTTACCATAAACTTTAGCTTGAGTCTGCCTCTGCCTCTCAGCTTTGAAGAGCAGGATGACAGGGATTGTGTCACCTTAGGGACATACACAGTGCCAGGTACACAGTAGGTGCTCAAAAATACTAAAATAATCAGGAAAAAAACCAATCTGTACAGTTGCTTTAGATAATAATATATTCCAAATGGATTAAAATGTTAAATGTAATTTTAAATGTTCAACAAACATTTATTGCCAGGGGCATTGGATAAAGCAGTGGCCAAAATAAATCAATTCCCTGTCCTTATGTGCTGACATTAGTGGGACAGATATGTGCAGGGAAGACAGTTCAGGAAGGTGGAACAGCATGTGCAAAGACCCTGTGGTGGGAAAGATCCAGGGTCCAGGTACCTCACCCACTGGGATCTGGGCATCAGTCCTTCCAGCTTCCACCCAACGGATGTTCCAAACACACAAATCCCCCCAGTGAATCTCCTGCTCAGAGCCTTCCATGGCTCCCCCATGTCCAGTGGATCAAACCCAAGGTCCTTAGCCCTTCGCTGGGCAGCACTTGGCCACAGGGCTCCGTCCTGCTGTCCCTCGGGGACAGTCATTCCAGGCCCCGCCCCCAGGCTCTCCCACCTTCGCGGCGCCGCCCACTCCACCTCACTATTGGACAGTTCGGAGGGTGTCTGGCGTTGGTTGGCTGGAGCGACCGTCAATTAGCGTCAAGGCATTGATAACCTGTTCTCGAGCTTCGAGGGGGCGGGCTCGGGTGCGGGCGCGGATGTGGCTGCGGCATCAGGTAAATCGCCGGCTTGCGGGCCACCGAAGCGGATCTGGGGCGGGATAGGGGGCGCCCCGGGAAATGGCGCTGCGCCTGCAGCCCCTCCGCGGGCCGCGCGCTGTGACGGGGCGGGCGCCGTGTCCTCCGGCTGCGACCCCTCCCACACTGAGAGCCCCCAGTGGGCAGCGCGCAGAATGGGAAGCTCCGGGTTCAGGAGATCGCCCTCCTCCCGCCCTTCAGGAGCCAAGTCGGGGCTTGTTCGCCCCCTAGCTCCCCAGCCAGCTCCCCAGCCGACTCCCCAGCCTTTCCCCGCGTCTCTCCCGGACAGCTTGGGGACCGGGTCGAGCCCCTCGCGAGGGACCTGGGTGTGCGTGGGGGTGTGACGGAAACGGTGTTGGGGGAGGGACGGACGGCCCCGCCGGCAGACAATGGGTAGCGGATGGAACCGCCCGGCAGCGTTTCCTCTAGGAAACGGCTCTGTCCCTGCGAGGCCGTCTAGGGGGGGCGGTGAGGGAGTGGTCGGTGCTGACCTGAGTACCTCCCCTACACACCATCATCAGCCAACACCCCTACCTCGGGGGTGTGCAAGTTCCGGTCCAACTTTAGGGGGTGCCACCACACGGCCTCAAGCGGGGGGAGGGGCTGGGGGGAGAGTCCCCTCCCCAGGACCAGGAGCTGCACTGCCTGCGGTATTTGGTGATCACAGCACCGAGTCCAGAAATAGTCCCTGGGGCTGGAGTGGGGGCGTCTGGCATCAGCTCTGACGGCCTAATGAAGGGGCCTCAGGCAGAGGACCCGAATCTAGCTGACAGCTCAGGCGGGAGCAGAGGAGAGAGGAGGGCAGCTGCACGCCCCAGCTCCCCAACTCCGGTGAGGCTGCAGCCCCTGGAGCCACTGGGGGGGTGGTGGTGGGGGGGTGAACCCACTCCCTGCCATCGGGGACACACGCAGGGACAGGCATGAGGGTCGTCGGGGAGGGACGGGCTGTTTCTAGAAGACCATCAAGTGGAATGGCCAATGCAGAAACAGTGGCAAAGCCGCCTAGGTTTAAATCTGCCTCTGCCTGAATGTGACCTTGGGAGCATCACTTAATCTGTGTTTCTTCCTCTGTAAAAAGGAGAAAGACAGTAAGAAAACCTACCTCAGAGGGCTTAGCTAGGATTTTTTTAGTTAATCCCTACAGATCGCCTAGAATTGAAGCTGGTCCATTGAAAATGGAAAGAGTGTTTTTATCATTCTTTACCATTCTTGGAGTATCCACCCATTTCCCCACCCAGCCTCTGGGTCCCGCTGCGGAGGGGGTTTGGGTCTTAGGGATGGCCCACAGCTATTCTTCGAGTTCCCAGCACCTCAGATGTCCCTGGAGGAGGGGGCTGATCCCAGCTCAGTCCCACTTGGAGCGGTGCGTGAAAAGGCCCAGACTTCCAACCCCCCACCCAGGCCTTTTCCATGGCCAAGCTTCTCTCTGGCAGTTTCCTAAAAACAAGTCCTGAGAGGCACTGGATGTCCTGTGTGATGACCAGCTGTCCTGCTGGTCCACCCCTTGCAACTGGTATAAGGGGCAGGAAACAGCTGCCTTGGGACAGGAAAAGGTTCTGGGTGGGGGAGGTCAGGGACCCAGGCTGGACAAAGGTGGGAAGTGGAAAGATGGTTAGTTTAGCACAAATGAGCTGCGGGTTAGGGAGCGGTCACATTGGGTCTGATAGGCAAGGGTCTCCAGAAGATGAGCAGAGGGTGTTTCCCACAATTGATTTAATTGCTTTGTACCTCAGTTTCCCCATCTGTAAAATGTGGATATCTACCTTGCAGGATTGCACAGGATTACATCTAATCAAGCAGGGAATACAGTAGGCACTTGATACTGGCAGCTTGCTTGCCCTTCCCTGAGGCTTTTCATGTGAGCTCTTTAAAGCCCCATCTTTCTCACCCTGTGCTTTCTGAATCCAAGTTCTGGACTCAATATTTGTCCTTGTAAAATATCACATTATTAGATGGGTCTCAATCTCCCTCAGTTTCTTAGAGCCTCCATCATGACACCCTGACTTACTCTCCCTCCATCCCCAGGCATAGTTTCAGCTCTGACAACCTGGGTGCTTGTGGTTCCATTACAACCTCTTATAAGCCCTGTGGCACTCCACTAGGGGTATTCCAGGGGCACAGGTATCCATTGATTTGCATCCTTTGTGCAGCTGGCCCCCAACTCTCTGTCTTTCCTATAGAGGTCTCACAGGTGACCTTGGTAAAAATTCATATGCACAGTTGTATCTTGTTTGCATTTAGACTCTAAGGGAAACATTCAAGTGATTCTGTATTTTTGTTGTTTTTTAATCTGCAGAATCTGACCAGATGAGTTCTTAATGAGCCCATGAGGACTTCCAGTTCTTGCCTTCCTCTTCTGAAGGTTCACATTCCACCCCTGTGATGATTAATTTCTGATTTTCCCCAGCGATTGACAGAAAACTCAGATCTGGAATGACACCCATACCCACTCCCACCTCCAACTACTCTTGTTTTCTTTTTCTTTTTTTCTTTTTGTTGATTTTAGAGAGAGGAAGGGAGAGGGAGAGAGGGATAGAAACATCAGTGATGAGAGAGAATCATCGATCGGCTGCCTCCTGCACTCCCCACATTGGGGAATGAGCCTGCAACCCGGGTGTGTCCCCTGACCGGACTCAAACTGTGACCTCCTGGTTCATAGGTCGATGCTCAACCACTGAGCCATGCCAACTGGACATCTTTTCTTTTTTAAAATATATTTTTTATTGGTTTTAGAGAGGAAGGGAGAGAGAGAGAGAAACATCAATGATGACAGACAATCATTGATCAGCTGCCTCCTGCATGCCCCCTAATGGGGATTGAGCCCATAACCTGGGCATGTGTCCTGACTGGAATTGAACCATGACCTCCTGGTTCACAGGTCAATGCTCAACCACTGAGCCACACTAGCTGGGCTTCTCTTGTTTTCTGAATTACTTTCCTCTCTCCTTTTGATGCTCTTCCTTTCTCCTCCTGCCCAGCAGGCTGAGGCCTGGCACCTGGGTATTCCCACATTCATTCATTCCAAAGTTTCAAGGCCTCTTAAGGGAGGATGGAGGAAAGGGCACTGGTGTGTGGGGGTGGGTTGCTGGAGAGGAACTCTCGGGTCTGTTTACTCACTCAGAATCCAGGCTGACCCTAGAGTCATAGCCAGAAGGATAGGGCCTGACTCCACCCTTACCCCCTCTGGGGGACTTTTTCAGGGTGTGTTTGGTGGCTACTCCAGGAAACATGGCCAAGTTTGCCCTGAATCAGAACATGTCTGGTAAGTGTACGAAATGGTAAGTGTGCACAGGTCCACACTTGGTGCTGGTGTGTGGACACAACCCTGCAGTTCACTTCTTTGCATAGTGGCCAGAGGGGCCTCTGTGCTGCCCTGTCACATGTGGAATGTAATCTAACATCTCATGATGGCCCGGGAGACGCCCTCTGTCTGGCTTCAGCTCACCTCCCCTACTCCTCTCCCCCTCTCTTCCATTACTCTGCTCTGGTCACCCTCAACTCACCCTTTATTCCAGCCCACCCTGCTCAGCCCCCTCCCCTTCCAGGACCTTTGCATGGGCTGTTTTCTTTTAGGAACCTTTTGTCCCCAGCTGATTCCTCCTCATCACTTGGCCTTGACAACCAGAGCCAAAGTAATGCCTCCTCCAGTTATTCTCTACTTCATCTTATTATTGCCTTTAGCACCATTTGTAATGTTTGTGTCTATCTGTCTCCTACAAGGGGGCAGAGATGTTTGTCTAGTTCGATGCTTTGTCCTCAGAAAAGTGCTTGACATGTAGTAGGAGCTCAATAAACGTGTGTCTGCATGACTATTTGGGTGCATATAGGCATTGAGCTTTGGGTGTGTAATGGCTTGGTGCAGAACTTGGTGCAGGTGGAGCCCTGCTGGTGTGTTGTGGTGGGGAGGGGTACCCCTGGCCTGACACCCCTCACGCCCCTGTCATGCCTGCAGACCTGGGCGGCTCTCACCTGTGCCACGGCCCGATTGGGGGCTCCCGCAGCCCGAGTTCGTCCTACACGGTGGAGACGCCCTATGGCTTCCACTTGGACCTGGATTTCCTCAAATACGTGGAGGAACTGGAGCGCGGCCCTGTCGCCCGTCGCGCCCCCAGCGCCCAGCTTGCACGCCGTCCCCGCGGGCCCCGGGTCGGCATCACGGGCGCGCGTAGCCCAGGGGCCTGGACATCCAGCGAGTCCCTGGCTAGTGATGAAGGGGGAGCGTCGGGTGCACTCTCTCCGGGCGCACCCACTTGGTTCCTGCTGCCGCCGCTGTCGCCACGCGTGCCGGTGCGTAACCCGCACGTGGAGGACATGCTCCTGGAGACCAGCCGACGTCTGGAGCTGGCGCAGGCGCACGAGCGCGAGCGCGAGCGCAGCCCGCGTGGTTCGGGCCGCAGCAGCCCAGCCCCAGGTTCCGCCCCCAATCCCGCCCCTGCCTCGCCAGGCCCAGTGCAACTGCAGATGGTGCGTGAGCAAATGGCCCTGGCGCTGCGGCGTCTGCGCGAGCTCGAGGACCAGGCGCGCGCGTTGCCCCAGCTGCAGGAGCAGGTGCGCGTGCTGCGTGCAGAGAAGGCGAGGCTACTGGCCGGGCGCCGGCAGCCAGAAGACGGCCTGGAGGCCGAGGCGCGCCCGGACAAGCTCGCACAGCTGCGGCGGCTCACCGAACGCCTGGCGACTTCCGAGCGCGGCGTTCGCGCCAGGGCCAGCCCCCGGGCGGACGGCCTGGACGAGGAGGCTCTGAGGCGCAGCGAGGGCGCACTCCAGGTCCTTGACGGGGCGGCGGGGACCCCCGACCGGGCGCCCCAGACGCAGGAGCCTGAAATCCAGGCCGTGCTGGGGACCCAAGAGGCAGAAGCCCAGGCAGTGCCGGAGACCCGGGAAGCCGGCGTGCAGGCGGTCTCCAAGACCCTTGAGGCGGACGCGTGGGTGACCGAGGCGCTGCTGGGACTGCCCGCTGCCGCCGAGCGCGAGCTGGAGCTGCTGCGCACCAGCCTGGAGCACCAGTGCGGGGTGAGCGAGCTCCTGCGGAGCCGGCTGCGAGAGTTGGAGGAGGCCCGAGAGGCTACGGAGGAGGCAGCGGCCCAGTCTCAGTCGCGCGAGGCTGCAACCCAGACCCCATGGGGTTGTGTTGAGAAGTCCACGCAGACCGAGCCTTCCGCGGAGGTCCCTTACCTGACGCGGAGCCCATCTGGACTCACAGATGGGGACAGGGCCATAGCGCCCGCGGGTGAGTCCCAACCTCTCCCGGAGCCCTGGCTTGATGACCACTGGTCTCGAATTCAGTGCCCTTATCTGATCCCTGGCAGGCATCCTCAAATCCATCATGAAGAGGAGAGACGGAACACCTGGCGCCCAACCCAGCCCCGGACCCAAGAGCCTGCAGTTTGTTGGGGTCACCAACGGAGAGTGAGCATTTTCCCCCTCCTCATGACAGCATCTACGGGAACATGGATTGGGGTTTGAATTCCAGCTCTGCCCCTCAGTTTCCTCTTCTGGGAAATGGGGATAGCCAATCCCACCTGTCAGGACTCCGGAACAAGCCCACAGGGGAGGTTCAGCAGACGCCTCCCAAACTGCCCCCAGGTACGAGAGCTCATCCAGTGAGGAAGACAGTGACAGCGAAGATGGTGCTGCCGATCCCCCGAGGAGCAGCTCCTGTGGCTCTGGGGAGGACAGCGGCCAGGGATCTGACTCGGGCACCCCCGGCCCTTCCAGCAGCGGAGTCGTTCGGGACCCTGAGCCAGAGCCAGAGGCAGAGCCTCAGCCGGGTGCGCAGGGGAGGTGAGCAGCGCCAGGACACTGGAGTGGGGACTGTTTTCTTTCCAGTTTCCGCGCCCCCACCCCCACCACTCCTGAGCCTCTCCCAACCTCTTCTGTAGGTGCGAACTGAGCCCGCGATTGAGGGAGGCGTGCGCAGCGCTGCAGCGGCAGCTGAGCCAGCCCCGTGGAGTCGCCCGTGACAGCGTGAGTGCGCGAGGAGACAGCTCTTTACAGAGGAAGTCGTGGGGTCCACCAAGGACCTCCCCTGATGTCCTTAGGGAAGCGCCTGTTGTCTAGATTTGAGGGAGGGTCTGGAGTTCCGTCTAGCGCCAGGGACTTCCACCAATCCCAGGCTCTCTAAAGGAATCTCCCAGGACCGCGCTGATCCTTACCTGGTTCCCTAAAAGGATCCCGCCCCAGGCCCACTCTCGGACTCCCCAAAGACAAGCGCTCACCACCTTCGGGGCCCAATGTACTCCCTCTTCCAAAGGGATGCGGCCCCATGGGGTCCCTACGGCCCTCCTCAGACAAGCAGTGACCATCCTCCCACTGCCTGGACTCCCAGCCCCAACTCTGCACCCTCCCTGCCATGGCACCGGGACCTTCGCTGATGCTTTTCCCTGTCCCGGCAGGCGCTGCGCGCCTGGTGGCACTGGAGTGGTTTCGAGTGTCCAGCCAGCGCCGTTCGCAGGCTGAGCTTGTAGCCGGGGTCCTGCGGGCGGTAGCATGCCTGGGACAAGAGCTGCTGGCCCACGTGGTGAACCTGGCCGACGGCAACGGGAACACAGCCCTGCACTACAGCGTGTCCCATGGGAACCTTGCCATCTCCAGTTTGCTGCTGGACACTGGTCAGCATGGAGGAGGGGTGGGCAGGGTACTAGGCAATGGGGTGGGCAGGTAAAGGAGGACCTGGGCAGTTCTCAGCTGGGAAAACCTGAAGAAATGTAGAAACAGGCTGGCCAGGCAGATGGCACCACCGGTCCTTCACTGGGTGTTTCAAGATCCAACATGGACTGACCTGAGCTCTGCCCTGACCCAACTCACTTTCCAGACTTTTGAATTATGTTGCCCTAAATTTAGGGGGTTATTTTATCTCTTTCCTTCCTTAACTGTGAAATGGGGATGCATCATCTCCCTACCTGGGCAGCTAGAACACCTGTAGAAGCATCAGGCATGCAGGATGAAGCTCCAGCCCTGGTGCTTCCTAAGTCCACATGTCCAGCCAGCTGCCTTTCCAATCTTGAGGGAAGATACTCACTGGTCAGGGCTGTGACTACCATCCTGGTCTGGGACTGTCTCTTATCCTCCAATTCCACCTCCTACATTTCCATCCCCTGTCTCAGGAACAGAGATGGTCCCAGGTGTTGCAGAACCCAGACATGTACTGAGAGCATACTAGGTACCAGGTAGTGGAGTGGGCCACCCATGCTGCTTTGCCCATGGGACCAACTGCCCAAGAGCCCTTCTGAGTACCCTCCCTCAAGGCCAGTAACCTCTGGGGGCCTGCAGGTCTTGGTGACCAAAGGTCACAGCTACTCTGGGCTGGTTACCAGGCTGGGGCTTTGTGGAGGGGGTGATACATTGTTACTTTCTGGGCATCCTGTCATTCATAAGAGACCCAAGGCTCCTTGGACCCCTTTACCCTGTATTGAACCCGATTCAGCCAACTCCCTATCAGTCACCGCCAGTATCCCCCATACCCTACCCACCTGCAGTCATGTCAGCCTGGTCCAACCTCCCCCAGGTCCCTGAACCCTCAATGAACCTCATATAGGGGTTGCTTTTCTTTCATCCCTCCAACTTGGCATCTCAGTTCCTTGACCTGCTCCTCTCCCTTCACCTTGATGTACCAGCCTTGCACTTAAAGGTCACCTTAAAACCC